TTATTAAGTATATTATTAAAATAAATATAAGTTTAAAAATTGTATATTATATTTTTAAGTTTCGGATTATAGTTTTAGGTTTCGGATTATAGTTTCGGGGTTTCGGGTTTCGGAGTTTCGGATTAGAACCCTTCCGAAACTAGTTTCGGGTCGACGCCATGTTTGACCTATACTTATTATTACTATTATCACTTATATTTCAAGCATTGTTGTAAAATTTTCCGAATATCGAATTGTCAAATACTGAAATTTTAAGTCTTTGAGTGTCTTTACAATGTATTCAGTGGAATCAATGTAATCAATCAACTTTCTTACCATTATTCCAAGAGGATCGTATCATTATAAAGTATTAAATAACTTTATGTTCGATGTTTCTCTGATCAGTCTTTATTTTATGATTGGTGCTAAGTCGACTAACACTAATTTAATTAAACCTATTTGTCTTGTGATCATAGAATTTCTTTGTCGACTATTTTTTTGTCAATATTTATATTAGCAGTATCACAAAAAATTTCCCATATAGAAATTTGTGTTATATTAAATATGAAGTTTCGTGTCACATTGAGGGATTTCAGCTTATGGGCGAAAATTTTTGATGGGAATACATATAAAAAAGTTATTAATTCTGTCATCTTTAAATGTCATTATATCAAATACTAATTTGTCATGCTTGTTATAAAGCGGTTTCTTATAGAGATAGAACCTAAGCATATTTTATAATTCGGTAAACAAAAAAATAAGTTCGGATTAATCCAGATGCTACGTATTTTATAATATGATCTAATTTACAGCCGGATAGAAATCATAACTTAGCATTAATACTTTTTTTAGTTTAATTATATAATATTTATGTTACGAGTGAAAATAGAAGTAGATTTAAATTATTAGAGCTAGAGTTAGGTAAAAATTAGATTTTTGGGTGTAATTATTATATTTAATTTTAGTTCTATTCCTAATTGCAACATATATATCCGTATATTCGTTTCAAAAAATTGAATCCGGGTTTATTTAAAATTAGGATTAATCCAGATATAAATATAAATCTGGATTCACTTAATACCTCTAGTTTCTTAAGAATTTCATAAGCAGAAAACAATAATTGGCCAATAAATTGCATAGCATAATTTTATCTTTTTTTTTTGAGTTTATTAAAATGCACCTATGGTGTTTTACACCTATGTATATGTTTTCTCAAAAACTGGCTAATTAATCGGCATGAAGTATTCTAAGCAAAAATGTTCTATGCCCTAAAAAACTCTTCCCAACCCTAACGCTAGCCTAATACTAACCTTAACGTGAAAAAATTTGTATTAAAAATTATATATACAAAACTTATAAAATCAGAAAAATATAAGAAAATATATAATAGGTGTAAAACACCATAGGTATATTTTATAATAATTGATTTTTAATATTCAGAAAATCAAAAAATTTCTCCCATATGAAATTAAAATGCGGAAATTAATCTGATTAAAATTGATCCCGTACAATTTTTTATTACTTCTCCAATTAATTTCAGGATTTGAATTATAATAATTTAAGCATTTAAAATAAACTATTAGACTTCACAAATATTTACCAATTAAAATTTAATTTATTTAAATTAATTTAGTAGGGTGATTCAAAATAACTTATCTCGGAAATAAGCGAGAATTTAAAAGGTCCTAGTTTCTTTTTTAAAATTCCGCATCAAAATTAAATAGATGCATCGGTAATAAATTAATTTTTTTTTTAAATATCTACCAGTAAACGATTATATAAATAATCCTTACGTCAGATGACACCCGGCCTAAGTTAGATTAGGGTTAGGGTAAAGTTACTGCAAAGTTAGGAGTTTTTTGGCTAATTATTGCTGATAATTTAATGTAGTCATCTGACGCACAACATATATACTTCAAAAAAAAAAAAAATAGGATTTATAGATCATGTATTTTGAAGTAAATATATCACTAATTTTATCCGAAATCGGACGTCGAATCATTAATTCTGAAAACCCCCAATATTTAATATTTAATTTTATACATGTTAATTTAGCGTATATGCATAAAGAACATTTATAATCTAAGCATTTAAAGCTACTAATTTGTATTAATTTATGAGCCACAAAAACCTTTTTTATTGTGTGCATTATAAAAACCCCCTCAATAGATTAGATAATAAGGCTTTTAGATCCTGCGTATTGGCAAATAAAATGATTTTATAATACAAACCATGAAAGCTATTAGAATAAGAACTTTCTCATCCTAACACTAACCATAAAGAGTGTTAGAATGATTTTTATAATACGAACTTTCTAATCTTAATACTAATCATAAAGAGCTGTAAAATGATTATTTTGCTTAATTAATCATTTGATTTCATGTTATAATTGACTAAAACTTACATGATTGCTGTCTTCGGGTAGTTTCAAGAACAAGGAACCCAGTGATATTTTCGTAGTCATCACATCACATGATTAAGTGTTCGGCCTAAGTTAGGGTTAATTTTAGGGTTAGGTGATAAGATAATTTAGGCTAATTTTTTAAGTGCTAGTAAACAAATGACGATGATTTCACATGTGATGTGATGATCACTGGGTCTGTGTTCTTGAAGTGTCCCCTGTCTTCTTCTCAAATCTCGTGTTGTTTTATGCAAAAGGAAATTTGAGAAACGTAGATCATTCATTCAATTTTACAGTATCCTGCAGGGTATTATAATAAAGATGTTTATCTACCCCGTCATTTAATGATAGGTCTAACATTTAGTTAGTCAATAAATGTTTTGCTATGAGATTCGGTAAGTTGATCGTCGTCAATCAAAACGTCATAGTGATATTAAAAAAATTATGTATAATTAATTGTCGCATGTTATTTGTAACAACTTAGTATATAAATTTGTCGGACATTAACAAAGATAATTTCAATAACCAACGACATTCCATGTTGCAATATTAACAGTTTTTTAGTCTCACTATGTCACTTTTTAATCGACGATGTCCCATGTGATATAATTTAGCTGACTAAATAATGAGCTTTTACATTTTCATTTTTCTATCTCCATTTCCAATATAAGGTTTTTAATAGTTAAATAGAACATATATTAGTTATTGTGCGCGGATTGTATATCATTTAAATTTAGAAGCTTCGTCTTGTACATCGTATGGAGGGCAACGAAGCACATGGTTTAGCCTCTGATGTAAAATAGTAAGTTAACTTAAAAAGAATGTTAAAAATGATAGATTATGATAGTATTCTTTCTTTCCATTAAGATAATTATTCATCTTTTGTTATTACGAAAAAATCCAATGTTTACAATGTTTACCATAGAATTTTTAACCACAGTACATGATCCAAAATAGCCAATAGAATTGTTCACATTACAACAATAAACGTTACCGTCAACTAATGTTCGTTCTAGAACATGTTCATTTCTAATAACAAAAAAAATTTTAACAAAGTCTTGTACGAATAGAATTCATTTTGAAGTTTGTCTGCCGACATACTATAAATATTCGTTTAGTTCGCGCACCCGACCTTTGGGAGTGTTTATTTTTTTTGTATATAAACAAGTTATGCACATAAAATTGTGTGTAATTATACAACTCTGATTGAAATTTGTAAAAATGAATAAGATTTATATTAGTATTTAAAGAAACAATAAAATTAAGCGAACAAATCTTATAAGCTCCTTGTCAAAGAACTATATTTTCATTTGCCGGTAGATATTGTACACAAAATAATACTAAAAAAGTTAAAAATATAAAGTTATTACAATCAACATTCAAATGTTGTTTGGCAAGTTTAATTACTGCAATAGGATAAATTAGTGATATTACCTGTTATAAAGAACTCAATTGTTTATGAACAAGAAATCAACAACGTTCGCGTAAATGCATAGTAGCTTTATTACAACATAAAATTATGATTCGTTTAATTCGTGAAACTGTTATTCCCTAACTTAGAAATGTTATAATGTGTTTAATTCTATCCACAATCATAAATGGTGCCTCTTTTTTGTATACTATGGTTCGTATTTATTTCTTTTTTGCCCTAGTTTAGAAATAATATAATACATTGGATTCTATTTTAACGTTACATTACTGAGCAATTTAAATCATATATAGTGCCTTATAAGGACTATTGATCACTGTGTTCCAGCACCTAACAAGGCATGTACTACTAATACGTATTTGTGTGTTGTATATACATACTATAATTAGAAATGATTTTTTGCAACATTTTCTACAGAATATTTTTATTATAGTTTATCATCTTT